ACCCAGCCGTTCACAGTTTTAACTTCTAAGTGCAATGACCCTCGTGCCTTTTTCTGAAGAAGCCACAACTTGTGCAAAGTAGTACTCGTTACCCAGTCTTTGGCCATCTCAGGTTTAGAAGTTGTCCCATCGTAGTCCATTCAAAAAGAGTTCAAATGCAAAATTCAAAATGGCAGTTTCACCTGCCCAGGTACCAGCCCTTCCTCAATTTCTAGGTACTTCATGTTATGCCTACTGCCCCTTTTACTACCGAGTAGCCATGCGCTGAGCCTCCCCTGCACGATCATCCATCTCTTGCTGGAGTTGTCTCTTTATCCCCTGTAACTGAAGGAGTGTCTGTTCCGTGAAGAAGGTCGTTGGGGATATGCCTTCTCCCCTGCTCAGCTTTTCCCTCCCCTTCATTGCTCATTGATATCACAGGATAGTGCCCCACTGATCAAACCAATCGCTGAAAGTCGGCCCAAACTCTCTTATCCATTTGTCCTTGTCTTCCCCCGGGTCCTCCTCTCTTCCCCGTTCTTCTCTCGTGGGTGTTGTTACTTCATCCTCTTCCTCGTCGCTACTGAGGTTTATAACCTCGATGGGATCCTTCTCTTTCATCCTCTGCCTTTTCCCTAGGCTTCCTTCTTCTTCGCTAGTGGTGTCACTTTCTGATCGGAGCACTATCGGTTCCCCCTCTCTCTGTGTAACGGTCCCCTGGTCCCTTGCTTTCTCCCACCCCTGTTTACAACCAAATTGTGATCGAACCCCACATACAATTTCTTTTTCCTGGATCTTGATTCTCCATCCTGCCTTGTCGGCTGCTGCTCATCGGGCCTATTGATAGCGTTGCTGTCATTCTCATTTCCATACTCCATTTTTGTCTTCTCTTGTTATCTTCTTCTTGCCTGGTCATGTTCATCCATAACAGTCACCGCATCCCATCATACGCACACATTCCTCCCATCCCCATTTGCATATTTGCAAGCCTTCCCAGAACCCTTGGTTGCCCCCCGTGTAATTGGTTGTCCCATCATCCCTCAGATGCTTTGGCACATTGTCTCAACACATAGGTCCCTCATGTAGACAGTCCCCAGAGTTTCCCCACAAGATATGATACATTGTCCCCGGCTCCCAAGCCCATTCATAGTCAGCCCAGGCAGTCACCCCATGTTCCACAAAAGATAAGACACACAGACGAACAACCCCTGTGGTCATGATCACTTCCACAGGGAGGCGGTCCGGAACTATAGCCAGCTGAGCTGCCAATTCCCCTCTTTCCCCGTCCTGAGCCTCTTGTAACCATTGTTCTACAGGATCCCTGCTCAAAAACCTAATCAGCCTCTGTCTCGGAAACGGCCCTCTTATGCTAGTGCCATCAAGATCCTCAAGTTCGAACGTGTTCAGTCCCACCCGCTTAGCGATCTTGTAGGGCCCTTTGAACCTCTTTCCCAGCTGCCCAGATCACGTGCTTTCAAGAGCCGAGTTCCTAACTAGCACCTTTTCCCCTACTTGGAGCAGCTCCTTCCGGATATTCTTCACCTGGTCCCACCTTGCTTTGTCCCTCATCCGACTATCCATCACACGGTTAACCACTTCCCCCAGTGCCTCCTCATTTTTGACGACCTGTTGGCAGCGTGCGGCGATTAACTCTTCCGTGGACAAGTGCGGGTCATCATCTAGCCTGTTCCAGGTAGGGACCAGGGCCTCTACCGGAAAGTCGATCTCCCTTCCATACCAGAGTTCCGCTGGGATGCACCCCGTCGTTCTTTTTGGTATCATGTTCTCAGAGAAGACTGCCTGCTTAAGGTACCGTGACCAATTTCCCAAGTCATTTGCTGCCAGCTTAGTAATTGTATTTTTCAAGGTCCGGTGCCCCCTTTCTACTGGTGCGTTTGCCTCAGGATGATAAGGTTTAGTGATCTTGATCGGTACGCATAGTGTCTTGAGCCTACTCAACACCTCCTAGTTGACGAATTTTGTCCCGTTGTCTGATATGAACCTGCGCACAAAGGGGTGTCTCAGGTAGAAGTCTTCTATCCAATCGGCAACTCCTTTCCCTGTCTTCCTCTTGAGGGCTACGGCCTCTACGTAACCACTAAGGTTATCCCTTGCGTCCAGGATGTACCTGTATCCATCCGCTGATACAGGCATGACCGCGAGGTCAAGGTGGACCAACTGTCCCACCCCAATACGCGGGTAGGTCTAAGGGGTTCGAAGACGCGTGCGGAACTCCTCTCCTGGCATATCAGGCATGTTTGGCAATACGTTGCCACCATTCCTGCCATACCTGGCCAGAAGTAAAGTGGTGCAATTTTCGCAGGGGTCCCTTTTGAAGACATGTGCCCTCCAGCTAGTCCATCGTGCATTGTCTGGATCACGTCTAACTGCCTAGACCTTCCGCACACGACCCGTCTAGAAATCATTCCCTCTTCTTTTTTGAACAGATGGTCGTGCCTCAAGACATACTTTTCGGCTTCCTCCCTTGTCTTGGGGCTGACTTCCAAGGGCTGCTTGTTTCCTATAAGCAGCAGACCGATTTTCTTGAAGACACCCTCATACATCTGTATGAGGAAAAATTCTCGTTCCTTCTGATCGGTACCCTGCTCTACTTGAACCTGATTGACTAGGTGCTGCCATTCCCTTCGCGCCCAGGTTTCTGCCAGGGTCATCACAACGTCCTGTCCCCCTTCAACGGCCATTGCCATCAATTCCTCTTTAGGCCCAACCGGTGCTCCCCACGAATCATTTTCCTCTTTGCGCCTAAACGTTGCGGTCGGCCCTTCCCTGAGTTCCGCCACTACCGTAGGCGCACCTTTTTCCAGAGTCTGGATCAGCAACTGGCCCATTGTCGGCGCGGCGTCCGCCATCTCGTTTTCTACAGTAAGGGTTCCTCCCTCATATTCCAGGAAGGCATCGATTGGCTCCGCGTCCTCTATGCCCTCCAGCGTGATACAGACCCTACTCAGCCCATCCGCCCTATTTCGAAGCCCCGCAATTCGCTCGACCTTGTAGTCGAATTGCCAAATGAAGCCTATCCATCTGCCGACGGTGGAGTCTATAGGCTTATAATTCTTTAGTGCCCCGACAACGTTGATGGGTCGATCCTTAAGATAAATCGCCTCCCGAACAGATACGCCTGGAAGGTCATAAGGCAATGCAGGATCGCTAAGACCTTTTTCTTGAACTGTGAGTACCGCCGTTCTGCTGAATTCAAGGTCCTACTTTCAAACCTGATTGGTCTCTTCTTGCCTTCCTCGCTTTTCTGTACCGGTACCCCTCCTACTGCCAATGGTCCCCCATCCATTTCTAAGTTAAAGGGCCGTCCTACTTCGTTATTGAAGCAGAGCGCCGCTAAGGTAACCTGATCGGAGGATAGGATGTCTTTGAGGGTCTGGGCTGCCGCTTCACTATCCTCAGTCCATTCCATGGTGCCACCTTCCCTAATCATTGCGCTGATAGGCTCAGCTATCTTTGCGAAGCCTTTGATAAAGATCCTCCAAAATCCGACCACCCCTAGGAAGGCTCTTACTTCCGTCGTGGTGCGCAGAGGTGTTGGTCATTGAGAGATCTTATCTGTCTTTGTCGGATCAGGTTTCCTTCCATAGGCCCCGCAACGAAACCCCAGTATGGTTACTTCCAGAACGACCAGAATGCTCTTTGGCCCGCTTGCGGTAATATTATAAACTAGGAATCGCTGAAGTAGGTCCTTGATATCCTGCAAGTGATCCCAAACAAATTTCCGTATGCCCGGTTGAATTTCCGTCTCATCCTTGTATCGCGCGCCTTTTACGGGATTATCATCTATATATGGTTCGCATTTTTTTGGAAACATGTCCCCTGCGACAGCGAGCATCCTCCTCTGCGCCTCTGCTACCGCGTTTGTGAATCCCATATGGGTCACTTGCATCTGCAACTGCCCTACTAGTGTGTGCATGGTGGTATACGGCCTATATCTCGCATCGAGCGGCAGTTGGTCATATCCTGAGTACAGATCTATCAGGGAGGAAATGCTTCGCCCGGCGCGGGATTCTGCCAACAGGTCAGCCTGTGGGAGCGACCCTGCATCCCGGATCGTTACTGCATTCAGCTTCTGCAGGTCCTGGATCCATCTGCGTGTTTTGTTGGGCTTCCGGAAAACGAACCACTTGTTCGCATAGGGTGATGCGGTGGGCTCGGCTACGAACGAGTCTATCTTGGCTCTTAGCAAGTCGGTGACCTCTGCTACTATCCCAAACTCGTAGGCCGACTCTTTATCATTCCAGCATTCATGTTCTACGGTGTGGATCCGAATGGGGGGAATTAGTTTTGCGTCCAGCCGTCCTTTCTGGTGATCATTGAAGGCGAAGGCTAGATGAAACTCTTGGCACACCCTTCTTATTAACTGAGTTTCCTCCATTGTTAAGAACCCTTCCACGTCTATTTTCATAGTTTCTGCTACCTCATCAGGTATCCGATGCCCCTCTGCTACTCGCCTCTCCCTTATTACCTGCAGGATTTCCTCCTCCTTTTCCATAGCCTCTTCCTTTTATGTCTCCACTAGGATCGAGACCGGTTTGACCTTCTTTCCTACGGGTTTGTACTTTCGCACTCTTCCTTCCGGGATCGTTCTCCTTAAAAATGAACGGTCGGGATCGGCCTTGCCACCTTCATGGCGCATGGTTGGAGACTAACAACTTTTTTATTCAGACAGTAGCCTTTCTGAACCTCCTCTTCGAATTTTGCAAGCGTCAACTTTGTGATATCTAATAGCCTTGATAAGTTGCAGCAAATCGGGGATTTCAAGGACTACTTCGGTCGTTTCTTTCTGGCTTTCCTTCGGCTTGGGCAGACTGGCCCCAAGTTCAACTTCCGACTCTTTTTTTGTGACCATAACGCCTAGGACCTTGTCCTCTTGCCTTCTTTTCTTCAGGGGCAGGCCCATTTTGATCCACTCCTTTTTGCTAAAGACTTCCTCAATCATGATTTCTACCCTTTCCTTCATACCTTCCAACCGTGTGAATGCCCCTTTTCGCGCACTTTCTTCAAATGTGGGTGACTAGGTGGCCAACTTGCCCTTTGGGAGATCCCCTCCAGTTCCAAGGAGTCAGAGGAGTTCTCCGCGGCCAGTCACTGGGTCCTCTATGTCTACCATATACGTGCCATTGTGCATGTGCATGCCTATCATTTCTACGTTCGCAAACCATGGTCTCCCGAGGATTATGCTGTGGTCCATGTCCTCCATTACGGTCATTCGCTGAAACGACCAGATCGCTTCTCGGATTCCTGCCTTAACTGCGCACTTGGTGACACACCCTGCGAAGGGAATTTCCCCGTCGGCTCCCCGGATGCTTCCTGTCACTTCCTTGTTTATTGTGCAACCCGTGATTGTCGCAAAATCCCGTCGTATGAGGGTGATTTTTGCACCTCCGTCCACCAAGGCGTCCGTGTGGTCAGTTCGGACCTGAACTTTTAGTTTCCCTACGGGTAATGCATGGAAGATTAGCTTTGTCCTAGGTGGTGCCCTCATGACTTCGGCCCCCTCTCGGTCTGGTATGCTCAGGCGGATGTCCGCAAAGGCTTTCTCCAGATCTTCCAGATCCCCTGGAATTCTTTGGAGGTTAGAGACTCCTTGGGGCGCCTCGGCCTCTTCGGCTTCTTGTTCCTGTGGTTCCGGGGCCTCTTCTATCTCTACGCGTCTGCGCGTTAGCAGGTGCCTAAGCCCCTTAAGCAATCTCGGGCTTGCTTGCAACATGGTTTGAAACGACACGGACACCATGGTGCCCAAGAGCTTGCTCAAGGTGTCATCGACTTCCGATACAGCCAGGATCGGGATTTGGTATCTAAATTTCTTCTTTGCTGCCATAACCTTGTCTACCGGCTCTTCTTCCCTTACCTTTCCGTAGACCTTCTCCTGCTCCCCGACGTTGGCTTCTTGCTGGTCTGCACTAGTCCCTACGGCTTCTTCCATTACGGTCTCTCGGATGAGCTTCTTTTCCGCACCGGCCCGTCGGGTAGTGATATTTACCCTATCCTGCCCATTGCCTTCTAGGATAAAATTGGCATGTGGCCCCCACCCCCTTGGTTGGTCCCAGACAACGTCCGCTACCGGCTCTGCTTCTACGGTGACTATATCCAAATTGTTCAGGAGGATGACGACACGCCACATTCCTCCTGGCAAGTTCCAATTTATGCGCTCTCCCTGGGGTCCGAGAATTTCACCCTTGAGGGACCTACTGCACCTTTGCCGCACAATGTCGTGGTTGAGTCTCGGACAGGCCCGTACGAAGTGCCCGACCATTGTGCAATACTTGCATTGTTCGTTGGCCGGGTCCCTCCTGCCAAACCCCCGCTTTGCTACAGTTGCGGGAACCACGGCCTCTTGGGGTGGGAGGGGGGGTCGGGACACTTGCACCTGTATTACTAATAGCGCGTTCTCCACTCGTTCTATCTTATTGTCAACCCCGTGCACCCGCTCGTGCAAACTCTCTATCCCCTTCTTGACCTTATCTCTCGTTTTCCCAGTCAAATCTATAACCTCTCCTTCCTTGAGCAGGGCTAGCGTCTCGGTTACTACTGTCTTTTCTGCAAGATCTGTTACGGTGCTGAAGTCAACGTCCCTTGTGTATTCGAACTTGCTGATCTGCTGGTAGGCCGACAGAATCTTATCTTTATCGAACTCGGAGAACTGCTTGAGGAAGTATTTACTCATTATAAGGTCTGTTACCCCAGGAATTCGCAGTGCAACTAGAGTGAACGCCCTCAGGAAGTCATTGTAGGTTGTGTAATTTTTTCTATGGACTGCCGCCAATTCGGCTTCCGTTGCCATTTTCTTTGCCTTCAGGTACTTTCTCATCATCTCATTTCGGGTTTCTTTCCAGGAACCGCTAGTGGCAACGATAGTCATAATATCCCTCCCTAAGCTCAACGACACGTGCTGCCCTAAGTGGTCCATCTTCTCTTCCTCAGTCCATTTCAGCAGGGTTGCCAGGTTCTCGTAATCTATCAGGAATTCTGTGATGTTTGCCCCATCGAAAGTGAGTTTCTTCTTTGCATCTGCGAGGTACCCCTGATTCTTATTCAGAGCCCGGGTGAGAGTGGCTACTATTCTCTTAAGTCCCCCATCAGAGCTACCTGCTTCCCCGACGACACTAGTTCCCTCTCCGTCCTTGCTTTTCCTTTGTTTTTCCCCGGCCTTGGACGTACCCTCCGGATCAAACCAACCTAACAGCCTTTCCCTGAGACTCCAGAGTCCATCACACCCCTTCGTTATTTTCGGCGTGGCGGGCAGACGACTAGCGCCGCTATCGATAGCCGGCGAGGTCGTGGCCTTTTCTGCCCCTATGGCCGAGGAGTCCCCCTTTTCTTTCTCTTTCTTGCTGGGCGCTCCCTTATGACTACTATCCTTACCTTCGTACCTGGCTTCGCCCTGACTGGTCCTGCGCCCCTCTCGTAGCCCTTCCCCCTGGGGATCCTCTTCATTCCCAGCCATCATTTGCTCGATAAGTCTCGCCTTATACTTTGCAGTCCGCCTTTCTATTTCTGCCAGCTTACAGCGTGCGTCCGAGACTTTCGCTTTCTTGGGCGTGGTTCCTTCGGAGTTCCGAGGACTCGCCCTCTCGCTGTCCCTTCCTTCCCTATTCTCCTGCGGCCCTCTTTTGCTACCCCCATCTTTCGCCGAACTTTTCCCCGTGGAGAGACCCTTCCCATCTTCTTTGGTCCCCTCTGGCTTAGCTGACTCTCGGTCCGACCCCTCGTTCCGTTCCACATCCCTATTCGTACCCCGACGCCCTTTGCTCTGCAGTCCTTCGGCTTGTTCTTGTGATGCCATTTCTTTACCTAGCATTCACATGGAAAAAAAAATTGCGGAATTGGCCGGTTGTTCATAACTTTCCTAATCCCGTTCCTAAAGTCCATTCGTTTTCATGCCTTTCCCGTCTTATATTAGTCGGAACAACTCTTCTGACGTTTGTTTTATAGGGCGTCATTCGGAATTCCTCCGCCGGGGAACTTGCCGCCGAGGTTTGGCATTTTGTCACTGGCGTGCCCCGGTTCTTAGGGCGGTGTTTGAGCCCATTGGCTTTCCTATCGAGGATAGCCCTTTCGGGTTCCAGACATCGAATACCCCAGCGTTCTCAGCGTGAGTGGTCCTCCTAGTTCCTTCCTGCCACATCCTCAGGTACAACGGAACTCCGACCACTACCCCCTTTTTGCTGACGGCCAACTTCTCATTTTAATATCCTTTCTTTATTTTTCCCGCCTTCCCCTGGCGCCTTTTCTCACGCTGGTCCCTCAGGCCTACCTTGCTCGTCCGGTTCCTCGAACACGTCAGCCACCCCGGCAAGATAGTTTTCTCCCATTTCTATTTCCCTGACGATTATCGGTTCATATTCCTCAAATGCCAAGCGCGGCGAATCGAGTATCAAGATTTCAATGAGGTCAAGTAATTCCCAGGCCTGATTTCCCCAGAACGGTCCGTGCCTGACCGACATATCGTAAAACATTCCCGTCGTCTGTGGCCGGAAGTGGTGGATCCAGACCAGGGTCGAATCCACCAGGTCCCTGACTCTCTTGAGGCTGCCGAATACCAGGTCCACCATGAAGCGGGGGACTCGGCACCTCAACCCTGTCATTGGGGCCTTAAATTCTCGCCAACCTCCTACCTCCACCCGGGTTCTCAGTCCCACACCCCTTCTTCCTCGCACCTCCTGGCCTATTCGGTTCAGTACCCTAGTAGCCCTTTGAAAGATTGGTAGCAATCCATGCCCTAGTGCGAGTTCCGTTCCTAGCATGTGCCATCCAAGTTTTGGTAGGTATACGGTTCCAGTCACCCTGAGATCAGTATATAGATCGTCCTCTGGTCCCCTGTTAATCCTCATACCATCCCGCAAACATTCTACCATCATGAACGCCTGGTCCCTTCCCAACGACTCTCCATTCGGTGTCAAGTCCTCGGACCATGTAGCTTGCCGGGAGCGATACCTCCCATCCGCCTCCACATTCCGTAGGTGGCCGCGGGTGTGTGGGCCGTCGCGACATCCGGGCGCGTCTCATCGCCATTTTTGATTAACAGTCCCCTGCACAGTTTAAACAGCAAGCGAGTTTGCTTATTCCATCCATTCCCCGACCCTTACCTTAGCAATGCCTTGGTCCTTAACCCGACGCTTCCTTTCCTTTCTACCCCTTTCCCCTTCTTCCCTTGGCCCAATTACCACCCTGTTCCTACCTCCGTCATTGCTAACGACCGGAGCCCTTGGTCTAGTGGTAAACACGGTGCACAGGGTCCGCAACACTTCATACTTCTGTTCTCCGCTAAACGGCCCCATTTCTAGGAAGGCCCGGTAATACTCTCGATGGACCAACACGTCTTCATATGTCAGGTTGGCGAGGTCAGCTACCGCCCGCATAATGAGCTCCAAACCACCTAGCCGTTCTAGCAAGAAGGGCGACAATCTCATCCGAATATTTTCGCTAGGCAGTTCGAAGCTTCCGACCATGGCTACCCTAAGGTTCGCTGTTACGTCATCGCTCTCCGGGTCCGCGAACTCGAACCCTGCCCGCCATACTAACTGCCACGCCCCTTCAAACGTACTCAACGGATCTTCTCCTGACGCCAATAGAACTCTGAACTCCCGCCACCCGTCCTCAGACATATACAACCGCCCTTCCGCGCGCACATGCCCCCGCGGGTCCGGGTTCCATTCCCTATTCTCATCCGCGCGCCACTTGGCTCTTGTTACCAAGTAGACCATATTTTCCCTAAGCTCGACCCCGACCCAATCCACCACCGGGTGCCAACCCTCGCATGCGGACAGCAGGCTAATTTCTACTCCCCCCTCCACTTCCCTAGGCGGCTCAATGCCTAGGGGGCGATCCTCAAGAAACGTCCTCCTTCGCGCCATCGCGCGTTCGTCCTTGGTCTTCTAGCTCACAATCTGCACCGATCCCTACCATAGCCAGACACCCTATTCCCTCGTCTCAGCAATTTCCCCGTGCTTGCCTGACCCCGCGGTTTTTCTGCTCTTTAGTCAAACTACAGTACCTCAAACAGTTTGAACACATCATCCACATAGCATGGTGTTGCTGCTACTTCCCGGCGGATTATGGCGTCCCTAATTTCCGGGGCTACTTCCAGCCGGTCATTCCTTTCAATGTCCAAAATGATAAGGACCTCCCGGGCTCTGCCGCCATGGAAGGTTCCGAATTTAAGAGATGTTCTATAGAATTCTTCTGCCAGCCAAGTGGAATTCACGTGCACTCGCTCTATAGTGCTGGCTACTTCCGTAACGTGATCAAAACCCCTGAACCAGTCTGCCACGAAATCGGGTACCCAAGTCTTGGTTCGGGCGCTCGGGGGTCTAAACTCCTTCCATCTTCCCATCACGACTTTATTGTTGACCACATCCCAACCCTTGTTGGCAAACTTCTCCCCCGCCTGTCGAGCCCTTGCCTCAGCGTCCCCCAGAAGCCACATTGGGTTCTGTCCTGCCGCTAACGTTGTGCAGAACAAGTGTCACCCCTGCTTAGAAAAAACAACCGTCCCGACCGACTCCACCCTTCCTTCCGCGATCTCTTCCCATCCTTCCTCCTCCCTCAACGGGTTCTAGATGCGTTCTATCCATAGGTATGATATTTCTGGCGCGATCTCATACCCCCGCCAGTCACACGTGGTCCACCTCCATTCATTACTAGGTGATATAGACATCTCTACTCCCCCTCCAATTCGTCTCGGTTCCCATGTGCAATCCCATAGCTCGAGTTCTCGAGCCATCGCTCCCTATCTGCACATAGTCGACAACCCGTTCCTGGGTAAGTCCCCACCCCTTTTCTCAGAAGTCCAGCCCCCTACTTCGTCCCCATCCCCACTATCACGGAAATCCTCCTCCCTGTCCGGGAACAACTCTTTTAGCCCTTCTAGGAAGATTTTACCCGCCGCCACATTCCGATAGATTATCTGCCAATGCACCAGGTTGGGAACAAAAACTTCATCCGAGCTGAAGAGGTTTAGCACCTCAGCCAATTCCTCTGCCAGTTCCCTTCGAACGGCCCGCTTCCACTGATAGTCTAAAGAAATCTTGTCGAGCGCACTGGTATAGTCTCAGGTGTGTCATTGACCGGCATATCCGTTCCAGCCTATCCCTGGTCCCAAAGACTGCATCCACCAGAAACATGGGAAGCACGCACCTCATCGTCCTAAGAGGGCGTATCATATTTCCTCTGTCCTCGAGTTCCACTCCCACTTCCACCTTGTCCATTTCCATTTCCGCCCGCTGACATGCCGCCCATATCACTTCCTGTTCCGCTTGCCTAAACAATTGACTCGGTGCCGTGCCCAATACCAATCCTATTACCACTTCATTTTCCAGATCCTGGGATAGGTAGACCCACCCTCGGGCTCCCACCATCCCCCGGAATTCTAAGTCCATCAGGCTTGGTGATAATCTCGTCAGGCTGATCTTAGTCCAAATCGTTTCTATCCAGAGGAACGCATCCTTTTCGTCGAGCATCACAGTTTCATAGGCTGGTTCCAGGTCCGTCCACGTTCCTTCTTCCGGGAGAACAACAAACACCCCTTCCCTTACGTGTATCGGCATTTCTGGCCCGCTAGAATAGACAGGAGGTGACAACCATTGCGCCCTCTCGTTTGCCGGTTCCATCCTGTTTTTCATAAGAGAGCACCACATGGCCCCCTTTGGTCAGACTGCCTCCTTTTCCTAGATGAGAATTGTTTTCAGACCCCTCATCCGGGTCTCCCTAACCCTTCCTACTCATTTCCCAGAGGTCATTGCCCAGCCATACCTTCAATCGATCACCAATCAACCGGCATTCCTTTCTCTGGGTTCCATTTCCTTCGGACTCTTATCTAGCCTTATCCTCATGTTCTCTCACTCGTGCAGACTCAGACAAGGGGTAAGAATAGACTAAAAGCTCAATTCCCATCCCAACACTCATCAGGCAAACTTTACAGAGGAAGGCACAAAAAGGAAAACTCAAGCAAACGTCGCACACAGCCCGATCATCTCCTCACTGGTCTTTCCCAAAAAATGGTTTCTCCACTGTTACTATCAGCGGAGTTTTATCCCGTACCTCAAGCACAACTCAACCGTCGTGAGCGCGGTATCCAGACTCCAGTGGGGGGTCGCCATCACCTTCTTGCCCAGAATACCCCATCCCGTCTTGCCGCTTTTCCTCATCCGTACCGACACCAGGAATCACCCCGTGTGCCTAAATACAGAGACAAAAGTCAGCCGCCCGGGCATTCACTTCCATCGGTCCGACAAGGAACAACCTTTCCCAAACCAAACTACGAGAAGCTACTAATCGTCTCCGAGGCTCCGTCTTTGCCCGTATACAGTGGTACGCCCTCCGCCAGTCCAATGGCTAGGCCCCGCCTGAGGAACGTTTCACACCCCGCCCGACAGATCAATCGAGTCGAAGCCCGTCACCGCGCGGACGAGAATGCTACTAAGCACTCGATGTGACAAACTCCCGTTAGACAGCTCAATGACCTGACCTCCGCACACGAACAAACAGCAATCTACAAAAGAGAACGACGTTTGGCAACCCGCAGTGGTCGGTGTAGACCCCTTCTTTCCTTCCGAAAAGCAGGACGCTCAAATACCCGTCATGCAATCACAAGTCCCAAGTGGGACATACATAGTACAAGTGTCTTTCCCTCGGTGCACCTAGCGCTTCCTACCCTTTGCTTACAAATTTCCACTCAAGACTGTGTGTGCCACTCACCCTTAACTTCAATACATAGTGCCTGGTTTCTTTTCATGAGCATCTTCAAAGGTGAGCTAGTTTTCCTTGGAGTCTAGCAACTCCCTTCATTCCCCTTGTCTTATCTTGTGTATTCGTTCATAGGGCAGGATCTACGTGGCACCCTGGGCCGCGGCCG